TGATTGATTGATTTTTCTCCTCATTATGGATGCATTTTTCTGCTCCTTTGAAGACCTGGTAATTTATTTGATGCTAGACATTGTGAGTTTTATTTTATTGAGTGGTGAATGAATTTGTATTTCTACAAATATTTTTGAGCTTTGTTCCAGGACCTGCTTAAGTCACCTGGAAACAGCGTGATCCTTTCAGATTTTGCTTCTAAACTTTATTAGGTGGCACAAGATCAGCATTTAGGACAGGGTTAATTTTGCCATGCTACTGACACAACACTCTTCTGTGCATTTTACGTGAGCTCCGGTGGTTGTTCCCTCTAATATTTTCAGATGGCCTTGGGTAGTCTTCTCACACATACATTGCTGAGTACTAAGCTGAAGATCCGTGGAGATCTTGAGCACATTTCTGAGGTTCTTTCTTTATAAAGCTCTTCTGTGGCACCTCTCTCTGCGAACTCTAACTTCCTTGGCCTCTCTGTGCTCCCAGCTCTGTTTCTTCAACTCAGGAAGATTTGTTTCTTCTCAGTTCTCCCTCCCTGTGCCACAGCCTGGAGACTATCCAGGCAGTAAGCCAGGATAATCAGAGGGCTCACCTTAGGCGCTTCACATCTCTCAAGGATCACAATTCTTTCTTGCTGGAGGTCCAATGTCAAGAAAAAAATCACTATTTCATATAGGTCATCTGATTTCTTAGTTGCTTCAGGTGGAAAGGCAAATCTGGTCCCTGTTACTTCATCTTGGCCAAAGGCAGAAGTCAGAATAAGAAATTAAAGGCAACATTGGGACCATGATCATTTTATTACATGAAATCCAATTCAATCCTCAAGAGCATTAAAGAATAATAATGGTTATGAAGTTCAATTTGGCACTGGATTAAGAGACCTTTCTGATTGGTTCTGGATGTCTCTGGCTGCCAGAAGAATATAGGGGTTACGTAATGCTTAATTTTTCATGGCCCTGAGAAGTTCAATACAGAGAAATGCTGATCCTACAGATGTACACGCCCAGATTAGTTCTGTGCTCCAATGGATGGGAATCAGTGTTATCCAGAAAGGTAGTAATAACACACATATAAGCTCAAGTACTTGGATAACAGGCTCAGTTCTCAGCACCCCATGTGTATTAACTCACCAGGAGCCTTGGATTTTACCAAATGAGGGCACTAATGCACAAAGAAGACACACACAGAAACGGTCACTAGGAACCAGCCTGCAGTCACTCACTACCAGATCTACCGTGCTGCTTTGAGCAGTTTCTTGCCCTGGCAGGAAGCCACCGGAAAGATCTGTATGGGTCCCTGCAAGACATATGACAGTCTTACATGTAGGTTGGTGAAATGGATCGTGAATTTGGGTTTAGAGAGTCAATACATTATAATTATACAGGGGGTCTCTAAGAGTTTCTTCTTCAACACAGCTTGTCCACAGGGCTGTTGGTGGTTGGGTAAAGTCATGTGAGACCTTAAATTTGCTGTTAGGGTTATGGATGGATCCCAGATCAACACATACTTATTGAGCACCTACTATATGCTAGGCACTGACCAAAGTACTTGGAAAACACTGATGAGTAAAAGCAAAGATTCCTGCCCTTGAAGGGTTTATCATCTAGAGGGAGATTATCAATAGTCACAACAAACAAGTGAATTATATAGCATGCAAAAAATGTAAGTTTGTGAAAGTAGGGCTTTCCCTTAGGGAATCAGGAGACCTGGGTGCTCTAAGAGTGGGCAGGAGAGGGTTACCAGATTAACATTTTAAAGATTTTATTGATTGATTGACTGGTTGAATGTAAGCAAGGTAGGGGAAGAAGCAGAAAGAGGAGAGAGAGAGAATCTCAAGTAGACTCCCTGCTGAGCATGGAGCCTGACACGGGGCTTGAACTCACGCCCCTGGTATCATGACCCAAGCCGAAATCAAGAGTCAGACACTTAACCAGCCAAGCCACCCAGACGCCCCTTACCAGATTAAAAATTTAAATAGCATGGTCAGGGTAGGCCTCCTTGAGAAGATTATCTCTGAAAAAACAAAACCCCAAAAAACTCAAAAAAGATGAGGCACTTAGTCACAGGGACAAGTGGGAGAAGAGTATTCTGGTAGAGGAAATGGCCATCATGAAGCAGAGAGTGTCCCTGCCAGGAGCATGCCTTGCAGGTTCAAGAAAGAGCAGGAAGGCAATTTAACTGGAACAGAGTAGGTGAAAGGGAGATGCAGAAGGAGGTGAGGACAAGGCTGAAGAGGGGAAGGGGCTCATGCACTAAAAAGTCGGTGTTACAGGGAACAAGAAAGGAACAATACGACATATGTACGCCCTTCTGTTATACTGAACACCCACTGAAACACAGATCCATAAAGGTACCACATGAGTAAACTGATGATAAAGCAAGCCTTAGACTCCCTTAGTTGGAGGGCTCCTGGGTGGCTCAGTCAATTGAGCATATGACTCTTGATTTCAGCTCAGGTCATGATCTCAAGTCATGATCTCAGGGTCCTGGGATTGAGTCCCCCCACACCCATCCCCACCCCGTTGGGTTCCACACTCAGCACGGAGTCTGCTTAAGACTCTCTCTCTCTTTCAAATAAATTAATCTTTAAAAAAAAAATCCCGTAGTGGGGTACTGCCTTAGTTTGGCTTTGAGTCATATGGTGTGTCCCAGGCCTAGGGCAGCACTCCTTGGTTCCCAGCTGGCCTCGTGCTTGTCCAGCAGTGCCTCTTATGCATCAGCATGACATTACCACCATCTGACTGTGTGAGTTACCGCCATCTGACTGTGAGATTCACACTGCAGGGAGCACCCTCGCCTTGCAAGCAGGAAAATTTCCGCCAGCTCCCTGATGCTGCTGGCCAGCTAGTCAGCCGTGTTAACACGTGCTCTTCCACTCCTGCTGGGTATTGGGGAAGACAAACATCCATTTTATTTTAGTGCTGGTGACCTCCAAAGAAAAGGCAAGAGGGAAGACATCTTTTGTGGTTCCTGGTGAGCCATGGGAATAAATGCTCGGCTTCCCTGTAACTTACACAATGAGAGGATCTCACTTTATATATTTGTATCTTGGGCTTCTAGGGAGAAAAAAAAAAAAAGCAGCATAGCTAAGCTGATCATTACTTGTTGCCATTTCGCTGTCTTCTTCAAACAAAATGAAGCTCGCAAAGGAAAATGAAATACCAGGTCACCTTCCTCCCCTTTGGGGTCTGTCTTTAAAGGACTGTCCATAGTCTTCCTTTTCTCCCTCAGTAATAGACACACCCGGGCTCAGTCTGCAGCCCACCCCCCTGTTTCCGGCTGGTGACCTCGGCCCATTACCTAACCTCTCTTAGCCTCTGTTTTCTCATCTGTTAAATGGGGTACAAAGCCTCTGCCTCGACGGTTGCAGTCAGGGTTTCATGTGACAGTGCATGGAAAGTTGACCCTCCCTATGCACTCTCTCTGCCTGGGAGATCATGAGCCCCCGGTATAGGTACCTCCCCCCTCCTATCCCTCCTGGCCCAAATGGTGTGCAAGGCAAAAATGGTTGCAGCTCTGAGGGAGGAAGAGGTCTCTGCCTGGCTTCCCACCCCCTGCCCCACCGCATCCCCCGTCCATCCCGCCCCTGGTTGGGCCAGCACAGCATGACCTGCAACACCCCACCGGCCCTGAGGTTGAGCCGAGTGCCTGCTCTGTGTCCTGTCTCAGCTGGGCACTTCTCTCTTCTCCACCCAGGGCGTCTCTACTCTTCCTGAACGCTCAGGGTCCTCCCCTGGGGTTCTATCCACATGGATTTTGTGCCGTCACCACATCATCAAAGGACCCTGTGAAAGCTGCCCTTTCTGATGATTCTGTGTCATCAGGTACTTTAAAGGACCGAAGGCTGGGACAGGCAAACAGGGTGCCTCCTAGCTGCACATGGTATCTGAAGGAGAGTCTTCGTGGTCAAGGCCGATGGTGAGCACCAGACATACCAATGGCAGACTGCCGGGGATGATCGAATGCTGGGGCTCACTGCGTCTCCCCATAAAGGTGTAAGGTACAAGGCATTGGGGTGTACAGTGGGCGACGGCTCTGGAAGGGACCCTTGCTGGCACCTCTGCAAGGGGATGGGAGAAGAAGATTCACGACAGAGCTGTGAACAAATGCCCTTTGGGGAAACAGCTAGCAGGAAGTGCTAGCCTGCTTTTGAGGCGCTGCCCTTTTCTGCACCCCAAACAATGGCAGGTGGTGCTCCACCTGAGGACTCCGCCCTGATTTCCTGAACCAACTCCCCCAGAGCGAGGGAGCACTTGAGAGGCAGCACCCCGCCTCCCGGAGTCCAGGCTGACCTGCTCTGCGGGCTGCGACCCCAGGGTCTCATCCTGGAGGCACAGTCCCCAGTGTGGCTGTCCTGGAGTTGGTCTCGCCCTAGGTTCTAGCTCCGGGAGCCTGTCCCGCCCTCCAGGCTCCCTCCCCGGGATTCGATGCCACCCTGAGCTCCAGCACTAGCCGGCCTCCCTCAGGCCGCCGGCCACTGGGTGGCTCCTGAGTCCCACTGAGCCCCACCCCAGCTAGCTCTCCTGCTTCTGGCCTTCTGCTCCAGAACGGCACAGACTCTGCCCCCTTACCTGAGCCAACTGCCGGCTAGAGGCCAGAACACAGGCTGCTCTGGCCTCCCCCTGGGCCATGGCATGGAGACGGCACTGCCCCAGGTCCCCGCGCATCCCTCTTGGCACCTCCAGCCCCAGAAGGGGCCAAGCCACGGCTTGTTGTCTGCAGCATGGTGAGAGAGTGTGCGCTCTGCGGGCGAACAGACCTGAGACAGATCCTTGCTCTGCTATCTACTAACCGTATCAGGGGACTTTGCGTCACTTCCGAGAAGGATGGGGTGCACCAGGGCAAATGCCCGTGAGGGTGTATGTACATGCACACATGGGTAAGTGAATGTGAGCGTGCATCCGTGTGTGTGTGTGTGTGTGTGTGTGTGTCGCGTATGGGTGGCTGTGTCCTCCGACAGAAGCCAGCTGCTCCCTCCTGAGCCAGGCCTCCCGGGGCTGCTTACCTCCATGTTTCTGCAGAAGGTGGCATTGGTACCAAACAGGATCTGGCACTGCTCGTTGGCGCTGTAGTGCATGCCCGGCAGCTTGTGAGGGAGACGGAGCGCGTGCTGGCTCCTGGGGTCTGTAACCAGCAGACAGGTGCTGACTTTCGACCTGCAACAGCCAAGAGGCAAGCTGACTTGCGAGTGTCCTGCCCAGGTTTTGGTTCTGACTTGTCAGCTAAGAGCGGGTGAGAAGGACGCATCTCCAAATTACCGATGGCAGGACGACCCCGGCCCTGGGCTACATGCATTGCGCTTTTTTTCTCTTTTTCTTCTTTTTCTACCTGACCCAATGCAGATCTTTACCACAAAGGCAATGGGAGTTTAGCAACTAGGAAAGGGCCTGAGCATCACACCCATGAGGCTAATGTACTTTTCTCAAGTTTGAGCATTCTTGGATGAGAATACTTTTGAAATAGATTCCTAGGGTATTTTCTTAGAATACGTCTTTGACGGGCGCCTGGGTGGCTCAGTTGGTTAAGCAACTGCCTTTGGCTCAGATCATGATCCCAGGGTCCTGGGATCGAGTCCCACATCGGGCTCCCGGCTCAGCAGGAAGCCTGCTTCTCCCTCTCCCACTCCCCCTGCTTGTGTTCCTGCTCTCGCTGTCTCTGTCTCTGTCAAATAAATAAATAAAATCTTTAAAAAAAAAAAAAAGAAAAAAGAATACGTCTTTGAGCAAAATTACTATGAATGAAGAAAAAAAGAAGTTAGGGTCATTTTGCTTTATTTCAAATAAAAACCAAGTGCTTATTTCCAACTCTGCAGATTCTCTTGGAGGGTCTGGGGTAGGCTTTGGCAGCTGACAGGTCTAGGTGTCCCACCCCTGAAAGCTGGCTGGTGGCACAGTCTGCAAAAGACATCAGGATGGCAACCAGGGTGGAAATGTTCACAAGAGGTTGAGAACAACTCTGAGAAACTGAACTGGGGGGCTGTGAGGCTGTGGCTCCTAAGGGAGGTTAAATACGTGAATGCTTTGATTTCTTAATTCCCAAAACAAGGCAGATGGCTGTGGAAAGGAAAGCCAGCCTCTCACCAAGATTCTTGAGGCACAGAATCGCCCACGAATACATAGAGGCTGATGCTGGGCCACTTCTCCCGGGCTCAGACACACACAACACTTTAACAAAGGCAGTGGGACCAGCAATATGTACATGAGCAGATGAAAATACCCTGCCCCGTTTCACTGACCCTTCTGGGAAAAATGAAACAATGTCAAGTGGCTTACAACATTTCATTAAGGTTCTGTGATAACAAGTACTCAGGAGGAAATAGATTATATTAAAACTAACAAGTCCATTTTTAAGACATGTGCACCACTTAATTTCCCCACCCACAGGAAATGTCACGAAAGAAGACTCAGGATGAGGACAGAAGGCAGAGTGATGCCTTTGACTGTTCCGTCCCGAATTCACTGGGTGCTTTAATGTGTTACTGAACTACAAAGCTCCATAGGCAGGTAAGACTCCCTGAGTCCCTTTCGTCTCCAGAGTGGACAGATGAATCCAGCTAAGTAAGAAAGTGATCAGGGTTTGCACATCAAATCTGTAAATTTGTCCCTAAGGTCTTGACACTAAGGGACCCTCATAGTACAGGAGCTAAGACTTTGTTTGACAAAGGTCTGAAATCAGATGGAAATCTGCGAGTGGAACGGTGCAGATGTATTCTGGAAAGAAAGTGGCAGTGAGATAAACAGAGCCCATCCCCACATGGGAGGGAGGTGAGCAGGCCCGGCTCCCCAGCAAATGTGCTCCCTATCAAGGGAAGCAGCCTGAGCATTAAGGAAATGCCCTTTTCCATAGCAGCCAAGGGATGCTGCTAAGGTGGTGTCCATTTAGGGTCAAAATACTGCAGAGTAACGCAACGGGGTTCTCTTCAAGTCACGGTCACCGTGTTGATAGTCAATCGAGCAACAAAGCATTTATGAATAGCAGCTGGGTGCCCCGCATCATACCAGACATACATTTGGGAGGAAGTTTAGGCCAGATAGGGGAGATTCTGTACCGACCACCTCTTTAGGCCAGCTCAGAGTTCTAAGAGATTCGTTTCTCCTTCCCACACTTGGTAAGACTCCAATTGTTGTGTTTTCTGGAAGTACTTTCCATTGTAGTGATTGTACAGAATGATTAAAGGACTTACTTGAGGAAGTTTTCAAGGTCATCACGACTGCAGGAGGACCAAGAGAGGTCACTGGGGTTCCGGCCTTTTACCCACTCTCCTGACATGATGTGGGATCTGCCAGCACAGGACGAGTGGTCATCGTCGTGGTTCATCCCCAAGCTGCCCGAAGGAAAGGAAAGGGAGAGAGGGACACTTAGGCTATAGGCTTTCACCTCCAGTTCCAGGTTCCAGCATACTATGCTAACTTAAATCAAGCCTGAGAGGCGACGAGTGACAGGCTGACACCCAGTCCTTGGCTACTCTCAACAGAGCAGACCGACAGCCATGAGCTTACAGAGAAACAGAGCGACGATCTCCTTACTTCATGAATGAAGACTGACAGAGCACACAGAACACCACAGCATTTGCTAAATGCGTGAATAAATGAACAAATTATATTCACTGTGATATCACAGTTCTTAAACTGTAAGTTTCTGATGATTACACTTGCTTTTTGACACTAAAATATGCCAATATTAAGGATCTAAGTGTTTTGTTGCCCTATGGGGAAGTCACCACATGAAGGTCTAGTGGGGACCATCTAAGACTTTGACTTATATAATATCATGGGTGCAAATCTTCACATCAGTGAAAAATGCGGCTTTTCTATCTTTCACATCATTATACCTGGGTCCACCGAGATCATACCTGTCGCCTTCCCGGCCCAGGTGTACCTCATAGACACCAGAAGGCCTGTCTAGACGTGTGTGGTGGACCACGCGCTATAGGCTTGACGACAATCTTAGTTTGCACATCTGTCGTCACTGGGATAACCTGGGCCATGGAACATATGAGAGCAGAGGGCACACCCTTTGCTGACCTGTGATTTCCAGGGCAGAGACTCGCTGTGCCGAAGGATGCCCATCCTCCGTCAACAAGCCCAAGGGAGACAACATGTGCTTTCCTCCATTCACACATATTTATGAAAGGTTTCCCGAGTGCCAACTAATGGACTAGAAAGAGAACAAAGAATGGTGCCCGATATGCCATCCTTGACCTCAGATCACTACCAGCCTGGGCAAAGAGAAGACACAGACAGAGATAAGTCTAAAAAGAGGTTCTAAAGGCTTCTCCGGAACACTTTTGTCAGTTTCCCTCATAGGCCTCTGACCATCTTCCGTCAATTCCCCCTGCTGGCTGCTTAATCCTGATGTCTCTTGACAGAAGCCTGTGTTCTTACTCTGCACGCCCTCCAGGCCCCTCCATACGCTTGCCTACGAGACACAGCCTTCACCACCATCACCATGTGGAGTTGGATTAGCCAAAACCACCCGCGTCCTTTTTGAAATACACCGGCAGGCCCTCGAGCTCCTGGGTCTCCGGGCTGGCTGGGCACTCTCTGCTCACCCACACAGCTCTACTCCCATGAGTCAAGGGTACACTTAACCGGGGCTTAATCGTATGTATTCGCAAACCGATTTATGTCACTAAGACTTGCTGTGTCAATTAACATGTGTGGTTACATGTTGTGTTAATCAAGGAAACAGGAGAACAAAAGTCGTTTTCGGGAAAACTAACTTAGCGAGTGGCTAAAAATAGACCGCTGCCAAATTGGGGATGGGCAAAACAAGTGTAAAAGATGAGGGGGGAAAAAACATAAAAATCTGCCCTGGACTGCCTCACAACGGTCTTTCATGTTCTACTCCATCTAAGAAAGAAAAAAGAAAAAACAACCTGGGATTTGAACTCCTTTCACTACAGTTGCGGCTTGCGTGAGGAAGGTGAGATGTAAGTCCAGTCAGCAGACACGCACCCTCAAAGGAAAAGCTTTCACCCCCACCGTGAAATTGGTGAAAAAGTTAACATTTTCACGGCTTAAGCTAAAACAAAATGTTGAAGGCACCGAAGTATAATTTCTTTACGTTTCCCCACTTGGACCAATATTTTTGGTCAGTTGGTTAAGTGACTAACTACTATCCTGTCAGAAGAAAGCACACCTGTGGTGCCACCTTCGTGTTGATGGCCACGTTGTGCCGTGGTCCGGACCGCTCTACTAGACCCTGCCCTGAACAATGCCCTCCCTCTGCGTTTCCCAAAGGCTCTTCCAACTCCCCAGATTCCCTTGGGGCAGCTTTCTATCCCAGCTTCTCCACCAGTGACTGGCACAGAGCACGCACTCTGTGCAAACTTCTTGAATGAATTATCTATTTAATATGGGGGAAAGCACCACCAAATCGGAGAATCCATATCCCTTACAGGGGTGCTAAGTCTAATGCAGTGGTGGCTCGTTCAACAGAATGACACAAGCTTTCTCTGGCTAGACTCAGTCTTGCCCTCCTGCCAAGAGACCAGGTAGCCATCCAATTCAAGTGAAATGAAGAACCAAGAGACTGTCCGAGAAGTCTGACCAATAGGAATAATTTAGATATATTTCTAGTAGTTACTTCGCTGAATGAGTCCTATTTTTCAGTACCGTTACTCAGCTTTTCAGGTTTTCTTTTTCCTGCTTGTTATCTATCTCTACCTACAGCTATCTATAGCCATCCGTCTGTCTGTCTATCTACCTATCATTTCTTTGTTTTGTGTTAACTTTTGAAGGAACTAACTGGTTTTTCAAGTGCATTTATACCAGAGGATGTTAAAAGTCATCTTAAATCTTGATTTGGGTTTGATTTGAGATCTTTAAATAAAACTACTGGTAGAGTTTTCAAATGGATCTTCTGAAAATATTGATGGATTTCAGTGAACTCTGCTCAGTGTGTAGGGGCGATAGAAATAAAATGTCTTGTGAAAATGGGGCTCCATCCCATCTTCGGTGACAAGGTGTAAGCACAGTGTGCGGACCAGTGAAAATGCTTTGTTGTCAACCTTGGAGAATCCAATCCTACGGAGAACCAACCCATGAGTCAGTTGTTCATCTGGCTTTGCACTTTTATAAGCTGGTTCCCGTCATCCCGGGCTGGGATCTCTGGAGCGGCCACCAGATGGGTTTTTTCAAACAACAAGGATGCTGTTTGGGAAACCACAATTGGGGGAGATCCAAGCCCTGGCAGAGTGGCCTCACCACATATGGAGGAATGTTTCCTTTGTGACCACTTCTAAGTTTTCTCTGGTGATCAAGTTGGTTGTAAAATGAAAGAGCCTTCTTCGCTCGCTCTGCCAGGCTCTGCTGGCCAGAGGGCCTGGTCTCTCAGGAGACAAAACTATGTTTAAAACAGTGTTTAGAAAAGCTTTCTATGCCATCCAAAGCTGTGCGCCTGCACAGTATGTTATGTGAGCGTTTCAGGACAGCCGGCCTCAGAGGAGGACTTCCCCAAGGAATGTTCCAGTCAGCAAGATCAGCCAAGAGTGGGATTCCTGGATTCCTGGAGCCTGTGTCTAACACAGATCGGGCTTGATCTGGTTTAAAATGTTCAAATGCTAACTGCCTCATAAATTTACAGTTTGATGAACTAGCATTGGGCTGGGAGTCTTGATATTTGAGGTTTACATAAACTACTGTTTAGGCTATTTTTAGATTAAATTCAGGATCTCTTGACTGAGAAATGTATGTTGTTTTAGGTTTATGTCCCAGGGCATCTATTACTTCTGGCAACATTATATTGAACAAAAACAGGTAGCATTAAGCACACACGCTGATTCTAACTTGAAGTAACAGTGGATTAAAGACACAGGCAGGCCTCCCGTCACACGTGACCCAGATTTATCAAACACAATAACAAGCTAATGGCCTTGAGTTGATTTTTATCTTAAAACAAATAACACATTGCTTCTGTATTTGCTTTAGGAAATCCAATATATACCACGGAGGGAGTTCTAAGAGAACCCCTACAGTGTTCACCCCCTCCTAGCTTCACCCCAAATCCTGAAAAACCATGGAGAGGGCTGGGTGTTCTAGGCTTGGTATATCTGCCATGTTGAAAGCTTTGGTTTTACCTGGCTCTAAGCCTACCCATCTGTTTCCCAGAAGCTTTGGGATTCTGACATCAGGATGCAATCAGGTCCCACACCTCCCCTCAAAGTAGTCTTGCCTGGGAACCTAGGGCAAAGGCTCCGGTGACGTGGCCCCTCCACTGAAGGGGTCCTCAGCCAGCCCAGGCCCTATCCTAGTAACCCTGAGTGAGGGCAGACGGACAGTCCCTTTTCAGGAAATGCTCACTGACACTATAGTAACAGGGATGGCTCAGGGCAGTTTCCAGGAAATGAGAGGCAGAGTTGTATTACTTAATATTACTTAACATGATAATAACCAACACCCCAGCTTTACACTAGGAGGAAAATTCTCGACTGTCAGTACTTCTTTGCCAAGAACCACGCTATGCCCTCGATCTTCAGCTACTCAGAAATGTCACCTACACGTGTTGAAAGTCACTAGGGGTAACAGGCTGCACTCCCTTATACAGGCTAAACTGTCATCATCACCCATAACCCCACTGAGGGGGAACCAAACAAGTAGGCAGTGATCACATCAAAATCCTCTCACCCGAGAGAAGTCTTTGTTTGTCTTTGGTTGTGCACAGGGAAATGAGCCTAACAGGCTCATGCAACCACCAGAGTAGATCTGGGGTCCCTACAGGTTCAGCTTTACCTCCTACACACACAGGATCACCCTGGGAAAAATGATCCTAAAACGCCATGAAATTTGGAATCACCAATGGGCAAATCATGATCAATAGAGCGCTGGTGTGAAATAGGCTTTGCTGTAGTGGATTACATCAGAGTAGGTGAAGATGGAGAAGACGTGTACAGTATAAGCCATCTCTCTTCCCTAGCCAGAGCACTCAAGGAACGAAAACACTCACGTTCTTGAATTGATACCTAAGGGATTTTGAGGTCAGGTATCTGAGTCAGGTCTGTCCTCTCCTCAGTCTTGCCCAGGACTGCGTAGGTGTGCGCATGCATGTGTGTGAGTTTATTCACACGGAAGATTCACATCAAATGGGCTGTTAATTTTTCACTTAACAAAAATTCAACTAACTGTGGTGAGAGAGAGGTAAAGAGAGAAAAAGAAAAGAGGAGGAGCGTGGCCCAGGTGACGGTGCCCCTCGCTCTGGTCCCTGAGCATGTACGCTTGCGTGTGCAAGAGCGTGCCCGCCCTCAGGGAGTGTGACAGAGCTGGGTAGCTGCCCTTCCCTCAGGAATCTCAGGGACGCCCTCCGTGAGCCCAGCGTCACGCTGAG